GAAAGAAGCAGATCGAGTAGCGGAGACGGGACTCTCACTTTAGTCAGATCATTGAGTCTAGATCTCAGTGTAGAGATGGTCATGTTCCCACAGAAGGAACATGAGTCATCCACGAACGCTGCTGCTGCATGCTGAATGCCCAGACACACAAAGCAGCGATCGTGACCATCAGAAGATGACATGAATCGACCGCACCCAGAAGAACACGGGCGAGACATCTTTAAAATACGTGCCACTTGCAGCTCTTTCAATGAGAGGAGGAAATTCACTCTTTCAGCGCTGAGGCGACCAGGGAGAAGCGCAAAGGTGGCAGACCACTGCTCAGATCGCAGGCGATGCAGAATCTCGCTGGGTACCGCCGTCACACCAACACTGAAGAGGACGCTCGTCTCAAAGAGTCTTGTCAGTGAGAATGGCTTTAGGAGTGAAGAGGTCTCTCGGCACCGAAGCGAAAACATACTGCGGTTGCGTTCACTTCCTCCTTTTATACCCACTGCGTGGGGCGGAGATACGCTATGCAAATTCCGCAGCCCCAAGGCATTTTCATGCCATTGGCTCGCTTTTAAATACTCGAAGAGGATTGGCTTTCTATGCGAAACCCCCATTCTCCGTCAACTTCTGACGTAACTCGAAGTGACTACGAAAGGGAACACATTTATGTGACCAGGTGTAATGGAATCGTTTTGATAAATCAGATAGCTATCCGATCTGAGAAAACGCATTGTGGCCAGGTGTAAACAGCCCCAAAAGAGACCGGCTTGTAGTTCATTCCAAACCCCAACGCAAACTCCACGTGAGACAAAGAAAATACAACTTGTCTGTCTGTCCAGTGCCAGTCGTCGGAATAAGACGACTGTCAACATCGGGAAGGCTTTCAACAAACTGAGAGATCTCTGGTCTGCTCTAGGGCTCAGACGGGTCCTATAGGCTACAAAGTAATAACTTATATTGTTCATGAACGTGTTTCCATAATTATAGGATACAGTAAGCAATTAAAACAGTTCAATATAGAGATAGATGGAAACAAAAACCGAAGTTTTCTACTACCCCTGTTTTCCCCTCACACACACAAGTGTTTACTCGAATGCCTTTCCTTTCATATATTTTAAATGACCTGCAGATTTTAAACTGTATTACCTCATTATGACTGTAACAAAAGATGTGTGCCGGCTGATGCTCCTTTGGTTATGAACAGCTCGTGCAAACGTACAATAAGTACGTGTATGTGTGTGTGAGCGCGCACGCAGTTTCACTTGTCGCCAGAGGGGGCGTAGTTCTGCAAAAACTCAGATACTTGCGTTTAGCTCCTTTAAACGTATTTTCATGTATGCTTTATGAAGTTATTTTTGATTTGATTAAGAACATAAACTAATGCCACGCTGTTTGAGTATAACATTAGTAGCCAGTCAGTTACTATTGTTGCCAATCAGATGCTATTGTGTAAAACTAGGGCTGCAACTAACGATTATTTTGATAATCGATTAATCGGACGATTATTTTTTCGATTTAATCGATTAATCGGATAAAAAATTATATTCCTTTTTTTGTTTATTATAACAAAATAAAACCCTAAAAACCACACTCTTTTGTGTGTTAAACTTCATTATAAAGAAAACAACAAATAAAAATATATATGACCATAACCTATGACAAAAATGCTATTGTAAACTAGATTAGTGGATAACTCAGCAAAACTTAGCCTAGAAAAATCACAAGTGCACAATAATTTTATAAAATCTGAACATTTAGTGAAAAAAACATTCCTTAGTGGGGAACAAATAAGAACAATAAGTGTAGCACTTACTCTGGTAAAACGTACACATTGCTCTTTGTATTCTTGTTATACAAAGAGCAATGATGTTGAAAAACATCGTAAAAATCAGATGCACAACTTTTTTAAATGTAAAGCACAGCTGTTTAGTGAGGAAGCAAAATATAATAGATAGGACAGAACAAGAAAGGCTACCCACATGGAAAGAAACTATATGAGGATATATGCGCATATATGAAACCTATATGCAGTTTATATGCACATATATGCTGCATATATACAGCATATATGCACATATATGATAATATATATGCTGCATATGTGTGTATATATGACACATATAGGCAATTTTAGGTGCATATATGCACATATATGATAAGATATATGCTGCATATGTGTGTATATATGACACATATAGGCAATTTTAGGTGCATATATGTGCATATACAGGCCATATAGGTCTCCTGCATTGCTTCTTTATATCCACACATAAGTGCTATATACAAGAGTATCCTATACTGTAGCTCATTGCAGAATCTGGTCATTTGTAGCTCATCCACTCTAAACAATGCTGGGTTGTTTGAACCCAAATTTTGGGTGAAATATGGACAAACCCAAATGTTTGGTTAAAAATGTAATTTCAAATTTTAACCCAAATTCAACTTTCACTTTCACTTTTTCAACTGTACATTTTTTTAATTGCATTTTTAACCCAACATTTGGGTTTGTCCATGTTTGACCCAAAGCATTTTTAGAGTGTATGTATATGTCACTATATTGCTCAAATAAATAAATAAATAAATATATACATATCAGAATGACTTAGTGGAAAAGAAGGAAATGTATAACAAAAGGGTTTGTTGTTTTTTCATTTTACCAAAAAGCCCTTTTTCCAATTTCAAGTCACTTTCCCATACACATCCACACATTCACCGATACATCCACCAAATGCAATGCAAATTGCAATGTTTTCTGTATTGTCTGAATGCAGTTTTTTTTTCTGGCTGAAATGTCATTACAGTCAAAATGTAGCAAAAAAAAAAAAAAAAAAAAAGTGAATAGAACGTACATTCAAATAATCATCATCATCCCACCATCTATCTGAGCAATTCACAGTGGTTAATAAATTTGAATGCTGCTGCACTGCCGATTGGCCGCTACAGCGCCCCGTAGTTGATGACGTCACCCGCCTAACGCTTGACGTTATCCGTATCCGATGAGATGAAGTCAAGTTTCGCGCCGGAAGATAACGGCTGGGACTAAAAATTGCGATTTCAGCATTGGAGATCCTCTAAGTCCTACTTATCACCAATCGTAAGTATTCCTAATGTTATATTTATTTGCGGTGGCAGAGAACTATAAACTTAGCATTTATTTTTTGCCAAACACACCTGTTTCAGCCCATACACTTCCTATGTTGTTAGCTGGTGAGGTAACGTAACGTTACTGTGGGTGCTAAAATAACTTAGCCGTTGATAAGATTCAATTTAGAATTAACGTGTATTTATTTGTTTCTTTCTGGAGGAATTCGTAGAGGGTTAACAAAAGTCATGGCCTAGAGAACATAACGTCATGAGAATAAATGATACTTCTCTGCCAACGGCTCAAGAAGGCAATCGGCTCCAGAAAAAAAAAAATACCTGTGGAGTTTGAATTTGGTCGAAATTGGTGAAAGAAAGAGCCGTATCAATGGGCTTGCCTTTACAGTTGCAGGAAATGTCTTTCAAATAGTAAACATTAACGTTAGGGCATTACTATTTTGATTAAGTGATTGTAATTGTTTTTTTTTTTCTTTATATAACCTCTTTCTAGAATTACCTCAAATGAAAAGTTACCTCGCCATTATTGCTCAAAAAGGTAAGTTCCTCTGATTTTGCTTTTTAAAATTGTTTCTCTAGCAGAGCTGTAGAGACTTCAGACTTGTGATGTTGGGCTGATTGATAGTGTTAATTATTTGATTTAAGTTATTTGCACTTTAATTTATTGAAGAGAATAACTTTTATTTTTCTTCTATGAACAAGACTGGAAGGAGTCCTGTTGAGGATTTAGATTCCTCCTCTTTTGAAAAGTGCAACCGGTGAGTAACCCCCTTGAATTTTTATTTATTTATTAATAAATATCCCCATCCCCACCCCGACACCCTATCCTCCTCCTCCTCTCTTTTAAGAACATTTAGGGCAATTATTAATTTGTTTCATATTATTATTTTGTGTAATATTATTATTTTGTTTCTTTATCATTAATCTGCATTCATACATAAAAACATATAAACTATTGGGAAGCTAAGCATAAGAATCAATATGAAACAATGCCAATAAATGAATAAATTATTTTTCAGATTGAAGTTATAAAGGGCTCTGGGGTGTTTTGCCAGGCAGAAGTGTGGAAAGCAGCCCTCCTTGCCACCTCTGCTACTGCCATGGTGTGGAATCTGCTGCTGGGCACATTTGATCTGGAGACTTTGCTGAAAAACAACCTGAATGGTACAAAACATTCTCCTAATCTCTTCTGTCCGTAAAAAACAATTAATATTCTGTGGAATAAATTATGTTTGTGTGCGGACATACCATCGCTTTTTTACTTGCCATTTTTGTATTTCCTTGCACCTCAAGAAAATGTGATGTGTATATAAAAAAAGTATTGCTTTCACAAGCTTCAATTTAACCCCCTTTTATAATAATTTTGAAATTTTACTTTAAGGTGGGAAGCCAACCAGAGGGGATGGGGAGCAGCTGGTCGCCCTTGACCAAATTAAAAAGGCATCATTATTGGTGAGTAAATGTATAAAAGTTTTGTTTTCCCTTCTCAACGCATTAGGATTTTATAAGTTCACCACTTTAACCATAGCCTACTTGTATCAATGTTTATTAGGCATCAATTGAGACTGTATAAGGGATTATTGTTACTATATCTACTTGGAACCTATAATACTGATTCTGCCTTAAACTGATACTGCAGTTCGACACATATTTACATCTGATGTACATCATATTTACATCATGATGTACGTTTCGCCCGTAAAGGTAATGGGCGTTAACCTTCCAGATAACGTGAGCGACAGTTTAGCCAATCACCACACACCGGCCCAAAATAACCAATCTGAGCCCACTGCGTGGTTCTGCGTGAAATGTGTTTTCAGGAAGTCAACTGCTCGTTCAAGGGACAAAGGAGAGCGCGGCTTACAATAAAGGTGGAATTTATGAAAAATAAGACTTTTTAAAAAAGAAAAACCACGAATACATGGTATATTGCACCCCATAAACACAATCATGCAAAGAAAAAAAGCAGTCAACCCCTCCTTTAAAGAGAGATGTAATGCATTTCTATTAATGTGTTACTTACTATCATAATAGAATATTTCCAGCTTTATATTTGCATTTTGCAATACATAATATTTGCAATCTCAGAGTACAAAGTATTAGACATAAAAAATAAAAACAATAAAAAGAAGAAAGAATAAAAGACAGGTTTCCTAAAATAATATAAATAAGCAACAATTACCAGATTTGTCATGTACTTGGTTGTGAGGGCACAACAAGACAGGTAGCTGTTTACCATTTCAACCTCCTCCCCTGCAGTTGTGTGTAGGGACTTTGCCAGGTGACTCGACCCTCCCCCGAAACGTATGCACACATTCACTCACTTACCCCAGTGGCATCGAGTTACAAGACTCTTATGACACCAATGGAATGTGTGGCCGAACGAATGTCTCTGAACAAAGAGAAATACATTTCTGTTGTTTCAAAGACTTTTAACAAAGGTATTCAAGGGTTTTATGTATGTGTGTTCTTCCCCATGTCACAGTGAAATAACTTTGTTTGGTCACAGCGTAAATAGAAATTAGAAATACCTTCTTCATGCATTTTAAACATAAGTGTATATTCTTTTAATATAACATATTGTTCCTTGATATCTCTAGAATGCTTATTGAATGAAACACTCGAATATGCATAGAGATGTAAAGTAAAGTGTTTTTTTAATTTGTTTTGCCGACAATGAAGATCAAACGGTTTTACTATTAACAGTGTTGTAGTCGAGACCACCTCACTCGAGTCCGAGTCCAGACCGAGACCAGAGAGAGTCGAGTCCGAGTCAAGACCGAGTCCATAGAGAGTCGAGTCCGAGTCGAGTCCGAGACCAGAGACGGTCGAGTCCGAGTCGAGACCGAGACCACTGAGGGTTGATTACCTAATTTACTTTTATTTACTTAGAGAAATCCTTTTTTTTTTTTTTTTTTTTTACTGAATTTACTTGATCAGTTTAGGGTAAAAAGGCCACATAGTAGGTGGTGTTAAAAGTAATTTTATTACAATTTGTCATGCGCAGTTGCGCACTAGAAAATCACCAATCACTGGATGTGTCAATCAATTTAAAGAAATATTTTATTAACATTAGGGCTGTCGCGGTAATGGAATTTCCCTTGCGGTAATATTGAGTGGCTCAATAGCGCGATATGCGGTATTACCGCCATTTATTTATTTAATATGTTTTTGTTGCTATATAAATAAAGTTTACGATGTGGACAAAAACGAGGACATTTTCAGTAAGCATTGTAACCGAAACTAAACAGCGTCTACAGTATATGCGCATTGAAAAACTTTCACTCAGCGCGCATATTGTTATGACAACGGACTTTGAGCGAGTCATTGAACCGTTCATTCAACGAACACGTTTAAAAAAGCTGATTCATTAAAAGAGATGTAAAGAAACAATATGTTAATTATTTCTAACATTGATGTTCAACTTTTCGAGGCTCAGCTGAGCAGCAATGCGTCGCATAGGCAACGCTGAAGCTGATGCTTCACTTATTAGAGACCCATTGATTCAATGCGTGACTCACTGATTTTATTTCGGCTTCCTTGTGCTGTGGGATGTTGAACAGCGCTGCTGCTGACGCGCATTTATGGGAAAATACACGTGAAGAGAACGTTAAAATGATGATGCAACAAATATTTTGCTTCCCTTTGATACGACAAGCTTTTCACGACTTCAAAGACAGAGGCAGGTAATTGCACGCGCTCTGCCGATCTCTCTCATTCACTATCTGTGTGAAGCCTGTAGGCTACACATCACCATGATAAACAGTCTTGTTATCATTATGAACTGGTTTAACATTCAATACACATGCATTACGTTCAAAACAAGAAGGGTATAGCCTTATAAAAAAAAATTGAATATCGCGGTTGCTGCGGTTACGTGCAATCCTCTGCGGTTGTCTTATCAGAAGCGCGGTAGCTACTACAATATTGCGGTTACCGCGACAGCCCTAATTAACATACATTAATAATCATGAAAAATATTTTGAATTGAACTCGAGTGGACTCGGGAATAAGTCCGAGTCCTAAAAAAAAAATGTTCGAGTCCGAGTCAATTCCGAGTCCAAATGCACACGAGTCCATGACAAGACCAAGACCATTAAAATATGGTCTCGAGACCGAGTCCGAGACGAGTCTGAGTCTCAAGTACTACAACACTGACTATTAACCTCCGTGAACACACCCCCTTCCACGAGGAGCGCGCGCTGAGGAACAAAGGACAATAAACCAAGAGTTCTCGCGCGCAACGTCCATCTCCCCGATTGGCTCAAGCCAACAGGAAGGGGATGGATTTTGCCAAGGGGATAAAGGTAGCGCGCCGGCTCCGCCTCTTCCCTTCTTACATTCTGACCTTCTCAGAGAAACATGTAATGCTCGAGATCTCCTCACGGAGATCTGATCCGACCATGGATCTTTTCTTTTGTTCGTCTAAAAGCTTCGTCTTTTCCTCAAGTGGACTACCAAGTTTGTCTCCCAGGAAAGGAAGTGGACTTTGCCGAACTATTTCCTCGGGTAACGTCACCTCAAAGACTTTAAGCCTTTCAAACACTCGCGCTGAATGCCAACGAACGCCACGTGACTCCCCACGGAACAAAGGAGCCACGCGCAAGCGACCAACCATGCACGGACCGGGATGGGCCGTGCAAAAATGCTGCGGTCGCTCTCCACGGCCCGAGCAACGAGCCCGCGACTCACACAGACCAAATATGCTAAAAGAAGGTATACTTATACCTTCTTTTAGAGCTTATAAGAAGCATTAAAGGTTCTCTAAGCGATGCTGGGCCAAAACATTTTTTTGTCACATACATCAAACGTCTCCTCACTACCGGCTAGCTGCCTGTCCCCTAAACACACTGTAAAAAAACGCGGTCTCTGTAGACACCACAGGCTCCACAAACGGCAACAAAAACAATCATGTCTTACCCGGAATACGAAACCTAACAAACAGTGTTCTAGCCAATCACTGGCAAGAAGTATTTGAGGGTGGGTCTGGGGGGTTAGTGCGCGTGCACATGAAGGGTGTGTGTGTGTGTGAAGGAGAGCAGCGAAGCATCAGAGGGAAGTTTGAAAAATTACCGACACACGACCAAAGAGACGTCGTTCTGAGGAACAAATTAAAAAGAAGAAGGAGTCGGATAAAGAATGTGCGAAGTTCCGAATTTACATCGGTAGCAAAGCTTTTGAACGATGGCGAGAACTCCGGCGGCAGAAGGGCTTCCAGTCCGACATTCAGGTTGCTCTGTTTTTGCTTGACAGGTGGGTAACGTTAAATTGTTTTTTTTTCTTCTGAATTGACGCTTATGTTCGCCAAACCCACACAATGATATAATTAGCTAGAACTATGCACGTTCACAATTATTTCAGGAAGCACGGAAGGGAGGGAGAGGAGATGAGATGCGGAGGAGGGAGGGTCTAGCTCCGATTTGTTTGGAAATATTCGAACGTCAACACCCAGGATCGCTTTGAGAACCTTTAAGAAAGTGTTTTTGTGGTGTTCAGAAAGGTTAACTGACTGTTTTGGTGAATGTAACTCTCTCTTTCTCTACAACTCACTCTCTCTCACTCTCTCTCTCTCTCCAACTCACTTGCGCGTATCCATTGTCTAAACGCCCTGCGTCGTCTTAGTTTGTGTTTTAATGTTTGTAAATATGTTTATTATGTATTAAATATGTTTGTACAAATGTTTGTTATCATTGTAACGTAGTAAATGCTTAAAGGGTCATGAAACCCCAAACCAAATTTTCTGAGATTATAACAGAGGTATGTGTGTTGAACACCATTGAAGACAATGTTAGCATCTGTTAGATTTAAGGATAAAATGGTTAAATTTGAGGTTTTTCCGCTTTTTTCGTCTTCCGGGTTTAAAATCTTCATTGTAGCGGTTGACGTGGCAGTGCACTGCACAGTGCGTTGATGACTCATCGGTGTTATCCTATGAGAAGACACGGCCTCTTAATTATTCATGACACCACATGGATCTTTCCAACGACAGACATGACAAACTGTGATATCGCGTAGTAACGTTAGATGAGAGAGGCAATCATGGGACGCAAACTATTTGTTTTCATGGTGCAAAGTCCAAGTGCGTTGAATATGTTCCCCGCGATGCTGCCAGGGCTAGACTCTGGCTCTGGACGGTTGGTTTGCCATCAAACACGGACACGTCTAAACCTGATCCAAACTATAATAGTGTGTGCCACGAACATTTTCGCGAGAGAGCTGCGACAAAGTGGAGAATGATGGACTATCCCTTCAGAGGTGTGTGTGTGTGTGTGTGTGTGTGTGTGTGTGTGTGTGTGTGTGTGTGTGTGTGTGTGTGTGTGTGTGTGTGTGTGTAAAATGAGAAGTCATTTATTATGAGAGTTCAGAGGGCGCGTATGCACTTTTCTTTTACTGTCTATGACTATGCACGGAACGATTTTTTTAAGCGGAAAATTAATAATTTTTTTCTGAAA